CACGTCGCACTAATAAAAAGTCTCCTCGTCGTATATGTATTCCTACCGAAGTTGTGCTACTTTTCTTGATGGCTTTATCAAGAAAAGTACTAGCATTGTCTAAAAATATCCGCTTGAATTGTAGATGGCGTCTTATTTTGTTTATATGTTTGATGAAGTGTTTGTGTACTTGCCAGTATCCAGCTAATTCAATAAACTGAGAAGTATTAGAATGGAAGAGTTGTGGAATAAAAGAGCAGTGATTAGGTATTTTCTGCACCGACGTAGAATAATTCTGTGGAAGTTCTACCATAAGATTCGATATATTTAGTTCAAATGATTGACGGAGCTCTTGCATCACAGATTGATCTATATACAATTGACATGAATAATCGAGCGATAAGCCAAAGGCACTAGCGAACATGAATAAGCGATTGCCCAGGCGACCGCTTTGTTCACGAAAAATGATCACGCATTGTTTTGAGTTCTTCATCAGAATCTTACCCGCCCACGAAAACAATATCAATTCTGCTTTTTGGTTCAGAACGAAAGAGTAAAGGAGTACGAAGACAGTCACGAATACAAATACTTGCCGGTAAGTTTTTACTTTGTAATACCTAAATATGGACATGGTACTAAGGAAATGAATCTAAAAAAAATAAAGGAATCACAGAGACAAGCTAAAAACAATCATTATAAATTATGACGACCGAATCTTCTTATGTTTAGTTCATAGGTCAATCAGAATAAAGCGACGACAAATTTTGAAGGCAAACAAGTGAGAAAAATCACTTGCTATATAATACAACAGATATTATAATTACATATAAAATGTTTTCAGCACAATCTCTTCGAGATTAAAATGTCAAACATCATGAAACTGTTCTTCAAAAACCTGTTAAGGTCTGTGGGAGGGACTTAGAGCGATTAGCTCTTCTCGCTAATTACTTCAACATAAATTAACAATTGTATTTCATAAAATTCTAAAATTGGATTAAAATCGAAGAAGTGATTAAAATAAAAAGTACTTTTTATAGACACAAAAATTAATAAATGTGGTAAATAATAATTTATTTCAATAGTTAGTAATAATATAAAAAACTCTGCTATCCAAAAATTCAAAATACAATTTCGAGATGTTTGTCACGCGGGTGTGGGCCATGCAAGAGTGGCTGTGGAATAACATCACTTTTCTCATTCAATAGTTCACCACATATTAACAATCGTCATTCACAAAATATTCGTTTCGATCAACATATGGCTTCCTAATACATAATTTTTTTCGGAAATACTGTATCTATAATAGCGTTTCTGTTTTCTTAGTCAAAACCCTCTTTCACTTCCATGCAAGAATTTTCCCCAAACTATCCTATTTACAAGTTGGGCATATCAAACACAACACCAGGGTGGGGTATGAGTGTGAGGGTGTGGATATGTTGGAGGGCGTAGCTGTTGCGTTCTTCTAAACCGGGACATCCACATACCCACCCCACATCCACACCCTTATCTTTCGAAATGCGTTCTTGCCTCTATATAATTCCTGATGAAAGTACTTTTCGTTCAGGAGAAGTTTCTGCCAAACGGTGGTTATTCGGCGATTCGGCACCGTTTTCCTTGAAACGGGCGAGGAAGATCCGCTATGATCAGCTATTATTTAGTAATGCATCCATCAGGTCCTTTCTTCACATTGGATAATACATAATACAGCCAGGCATTAGAAAAATATCCTGGTCTAGCTAATGATGATGGTGTTAATTACATTGAAAAATGTGCCACTGAATATATTGATGTAGGTTACGATTCTTATTTTGATAATTCTACAATTCTCACTCAGTTTGAGCGTTTATTCAAACTAGGGATGCAACAGTGACGGTAACCGATCCTTACCGGCTAACCGATTTTTACCGATATTAGGCTGATATCGGTTTATACCGGTTCAGAGTGTACTGATTTCTCAAAATTTTCAACTTCAGTGTTTTTCATCAGAGAAAGGACTTATTTCGAAAATAATGAGTTTTTATAAGGCTTACCGACGGTAATCGAAATCGAGGAATCCGACTCTCTCATTGGTTCCTCGAAGTTTTCAGCTTGCATATTTTGCAAAAACATGTCTTTTACATAAAAAATCTGTTGTTCTTCATAGAAAATTTTTGTCTTACTAAAAAAAAACATTTCTCACTAAAATGTTCTTTTAGTAAAAAAAATCATTCTTTTCGTAGACAAAATTTTTCACAAAAAAAAATCATTTTTTTAGTACAACAATATTTTTTTTTTCATAAAAAAGAATATTTTGTGAGAATGCTTTTTTCAAGAAATTCAAACTCAAAATCTAGAAAAATCGACTCCAGATTTGGATTTCTCGACTCCGATTACCTTCGGTAAGCCTTATACAAAAACTCGTTACTTTCGAAATAAATCTTGTCCCTGATGAAAAAAAACTGAAGTTGAAAATTTTGAGAAACCGAATACACTCTGAACCGGTATAAATCGATATCAGCCTAGTACTAATGAAAATTGGTTACCGGTAGAACAGTGAACCAATGAAATGGTTAATCCGTAAGGATCGGTTACTGGTTTGAACCGGTGAATTGATGATGGTGAAGAGGTGATTCACCGCCACCGTTGTATCCCTAGTTCAAACTACTATAGTTTAAAGGAGAATTTAAAAAACATAAAATCGATATTATAGTTGACAATGCTCGAACGCATACAGCTAAAGCTTATTCTTTACTTAATTTTGGAAAGTCCATCGGTACTCGTTGTCCAACTGGCACGATAAAATATGCTGATCAACAAGGTGTAAAACAAGTTATCGATTGCTACTTTAAGATCGGTTCAAATAAAGGTTTAAGTAAAGGTTTGATTGAAATAAGTAAAGATCTTAATGTTAAATTACCAACCAAATTAAAACTTGAACAATTAAGAGATATTTTATCTAATCACCCAGCATTTAAAATTGTAAGTTCAATTGATTATGTTAGGTGTCTCTCTATTGGACTATATTTTAGACATCATGTCTCGAAGAACTAGCTAGTATATACAGCATCAAAATACATTTTTATCCGAAATTCCAATGCGAACTAAATGCAATAGAAGGCGTCTGTTGCTACTAAAAACGATTTGTTAGAAAAAGAATTGATCAGACGTATAATACCATCTTGAAATTGATTCTTGAATCATATCAAATTTTCGCTCATAAACAAATTGACTTAAAAATTTTTCGTCGGTTTTGGTGCTCTTTACAGGCCTTTTGTGACGGAAAAACTTACCAACAAGCACTTAAATTGTTCTTTAGCAACTTATGTAGCGGAATAATTCAATCACACAGAAAAATAACAAATACGATTCTCAACAGTGATGATTGCATAAACTATTCTCTCTTTAGTTTGTTACTGTTTCTACTCATTATAGTTACCGTTCACTGTTGAGATTGTTGCATTCAGAAGGAAGTAAAAGATAATTACATAGATGGCTTTTAAGTGTATTCATTAGATTTCTGATGAAATTTTACCTATTACAGTGTATTTTAACAGAGTTTAAACCAAAAGTGAAGTGGGTAACGAAAAATGATTCCCTTGACTACAATATAAGTTGCAAAAATGACTATATTTCTTTTCAACACAATAATAGTTTGGAAAAATCAAAGCTATACTTTTGAAGGCCATTGTCTGACAGTTTTAACGGTATATAAAACTCAGCTATATCCTAAGAAGCAAAAACTAGATAGCTTTGCAAAGAAATCCATGACACAACAATTTTTTACGTCTTTCTCCTCTCAGGCTCTACATGTTTTATGAGCATATTTTTACTAAGGAATATTTAAAATAGGTCAAAAAAAAGATGCAATCGACGCAGTTTTTCACGATGAATCTGAATATGTCATTTTTATAATTCAAACGAAATGAATCAATTGAAAAAAATCATAAAAAAAAAGATTTTTAGGAAAAAATGAAGCATTCTGGACTATCAAAAAAGCTGAATTTTTTTTATCAAAAGCTTTGCAAAAAAAATTTTATATATATTTTTTTTACTCAGCGCGACGAGCTCTATCTAACCATGTATAAAACAAAAAAACATTTGCTTTAATTTTGCATTATCTGCCCCTTAAAAAATTAAGAAAAATCGATTGATTGGATTCTTTTTTCAATAGATTTTAAGATTATAATCGATTTCAATCTGATTATTGTGTCAAAACTGGATGATTGAGAGGAAAACTGAGATCTATCCATTGATAGTCAAAAAATAATCTTGATTTTGATAGAAATATTTTTCACTGAGTAGGCTCAGAAAACTGTAAATCCTGAAAGAAACGCATAGCCACGAAATATCAAAGATTTTGACAGGATTTGGAACCAGATCTTGGAAGAATCCTGAGCAGCTACTCATTGCTACAAGATCAGGATTCTTCCAGGATTTCAATAATTCCTAATTGAAAAAAAAATTTCTGTCTACATTTTGCAAGATTTTACCAGCTTTCCTCGTGGCTGTTATATGGTTTCTTGACAGGATCTTTGTAGAATTTCGAAAAGAGAAGAGAATAGAAATGAACACATAAATGATCTATCTCCAGACTTTCACTCTATAACCTGATCAGCTTACTCGACTGAATTGTACTATCTTATTATATATAGCTACAAGCTTCCATATCACAATTTTTGACTGAATAGTTAACTCAAATTATCTAAAACAGTTAAAATAAAATGTCACTTTAATTCTCGTTTGAGTTTACAAAGCTCCACTATTTTTTTTTGTTAATTTCAATTCGATTTGAAAACTCTATTCCTAAGTTTTTATACACGTAATCGAAACTATGAACCACTGTTCCAAATGATTTGCCACTTATTAAAAAAATTGCTATTCAATGAAAAAATTTAGTGCAATAATTAAACTGAAATTAATACCCAAATTTAATAATTTTTTCAATCTCCTACAAAGGTAAAATCGCAAAAAATACTAGTGTTTCCGGCCTAAATTTCAAATCGATTTCTATAGAAATCTTTCAAAGATCTAAAAAATAATCTGGGATTTTGCAGAAGCTCTCTGTTTATTTACAAAAAGGCTCGAACATGATCAGGATAAAATCCTAGTAGGCCGCTGAATTCCGTTATTTTCGCAACAAAATATAATAAATACTTGAAAAATGCTCCTATGTATAACTGTTGAGATTTTAGCGAGCATTAGTATTAAAATTCGTCTTGTGACCTAAAAATTTAAAAACTTTGAACATATCCCAGATAAAAACGGGCTCAAATTTTGATCAGACCTTTACACACACTTTTGTCAGGATTCTGAACAGGATCAGTTATAAATCTTGATAGGATCTTGAAAAGTAAGATCTGAATAGACTGTAAACACGAACCTGCAAAGATCTAAACTACGTACGTTGTGTATCAATGTAATATAAAATGTCTTCATGTTCATAGTTCGATATACGTAGCAAATCGATTTGAAATATAGAAAATGCAATTGCAAAAGCAAACGTTTAAGATACTAACGTCACAGCTGAATACATAAATCAATGAGAGATACTGCTTTGTTTATGAATCTAGAAAAAATAATATAGTTACCCACGAAAAAAAATTGAAAAAACTTGCGTTCGAATGCGTTTCTTTTTCAGCTCACATGTTTTCGCGAGACTTAAAACACACTTTTTAAGACGCATTGAAGCGCGTATTTTTCCAGTAAAAACACAAACAAGTAGTTCAAGAACATGTTCTTTGCGATGCGTTTTATTAGTATGTAACGCATTGTTTTTTACATAACCCTAGCTGATCCTTCGTATAAAACCTCCAGATAGTCTCTGTCGGATTGCTAAATCCTTGATAAGTACCTAAAAAATGAAACAAAAAACGACAAATCCTTTGGGCATCCCAGATGAGTTCTCTGGAAATAGCCGAAGGATTCCTCGTTTTTTGCTTGACTTTTTAGGGACTTCTAAAGAATTCAGCAATCTGACGGAGACTCTCCAGGGATTCTTATTACTTATTCCTATGCTCTTACACCTATATCCGTATTCCTATAGTCCTATATCTATACCCTTACTCCTGTACCCTGATTTCTATAGCCTTGTACGTATACTCTTATACCTACATTCTTATAACTATAACCTTATACTCACACTTATACCCTTATATATATTTACTTCACACATCCTTACAACTATATTTCGATACTCATATGTTTAAGCTAGGGTCGCTATAGCTATATTCTTAGATCTATACTCCATTAAGTCAAGTTTCTATAAATTGTGATTTTTTTTCTAATAATAAATTTGAGTTTTTTAATGAAACTCAATTGTTCCAAGAAATGTGTGTATGTAGCATTTATCTATATGAGCACCATCTATCAGTTCATTTTGGACATTGTAAAGGGACAATTAAGATGTATCCCAAAAAAAATTAATTCATAAACAAAAAAAACAATGTTTCTATAAGAACTTTTATCCGATGAAAACACTTTGTATGATGATGTGATCTACGAGTTGGTGAATCCACGATAACATACATATTAACATACACAACACTTTTATTGGAGAAATTTTTAACACACTATCCGACAGCTTCTTCTATTTATTAATCTGACAATCATTTTGGGTGTAACCTAACTTCTTCTGAGAAAAGCACGAAATCAGAGAAATATGTGGCGCCATCTATAAAGATTTCTTATAATTTTCTCTGGTAATATTAATTTAAGCCCAAAATGAATTTCAGGCTACTAAACAGAAACAAATGGCGAATATTTTCTTACAGATTTATCCAATGAAAGTTGTGTGTATGTCAAAGCACATTTTGCCATAGGTTCACCAAGCCTCAGATCAACATTGCGTCATTGATTGAAGTACATTGTGAGATGAGATCATAAATTCAGCAATTAGGAACAAAGTAATATAAGGAAAGAAGGCGTATATAGTTTTACAATATATCAATTCAACAGATCATCTAAATGTAAAACAACAAAAGAAAGTCGAGCTAACATTTGAGTAGAATATTATGAGGGGGATACAGGAGTATGCGATATTTATTCTTTCAGATCTAATCTTATTGAATAAGTTAAAAATTTTATAAAAATATTATTCTAATTATGGATCTTTGGGAATTTTGTTAAGAATTAAAAACGAACTTCATCTGACTAATTTTTGCACGAAAATCCTTTAGCAGAGTTGTTATCCGAATATCACCGTATCTATAGATCTCATAATTTGGTCAGATTTCTTTTTAATATCAGATAAAAATTGATCTAATTCATGTGTACTTTCACTTTTTTTTATTACGTAACTATTTCTTTCGTAATATTCTGATACATTTCTGCTATATTAGATTAATAAAATTCACCTCTATACAAGTTTATTTAAGTGACATATTTTGAATATAATGCTGCAAAATGTTTGCCTCAATGATAGCAGACTCTACTTCATAAAATACTAGCTTTACGCAAATACGAATGTAAACAATAATAAAACTTATTTCTAAAAATTCTCGTTTTCCTAATAAAAAAAAACGCAATAAAAATAATGCGTTTAAACGCGTTTGCAAAATATCCGTTTTTTCGAGAAAAACGTACTAAAAAGGACAGCATTCCAACGTGCTTCGAAAAAACTCGCTTCTCGATAAAAGAAGGTAAATAAAGCGCATTTGAATGGATAGGGAACAAACGCGTTCAAATGCATAAAACTAAACGCATTCAAATGATGTTTTCAAATTGCGTTTTAATTTGAAAGAACACGTTGGAGTCAAAAAAAGATGCGTTTAGAGGCGTTGTGTATAAAAATGATGCGTTGAAACGCAAAACTATAATTTTTCCTAAAAGTTTCCGTTTTAACGCTGTATAATACGAAATTTTTTTTCGTGAGAGATAGCCATGTGTTCTGAAAAATTACGCTCGGTTAGTATAAAAAGATGCACAAAAGCTTATTGTCACTGCTTGTTACCTAGTTAAGTAATAATTACTACTTCATCTACATATATACAGACAAAACCATTCTTGCCTTTGTCGTTCGACGCACGTGTCTAGGTGAGAGGAAAAAAATGTTT